TGGTTGAAATTCTAGCTGCTATCGTTTGGTTGAGCGGGATTGATGGAATTCGAAGAAAGTTTTTCCTCGAAAAAGTTGTGTGTGTTGAATTGTTGGTGTAGACACCTTGTGTAAGGAGTGTTTTCAACTATATCATTAGTACGACGGTTATATTACTATAATTCGGGGGGTTTATAGGGACGCTGATACTATTAACGAAGAGTGGGACCCGAGCGATGATAGCGAGTCAGGTTAGTTAGTCTCTGGTAGTGTTTTGATGGTATTCTAACGTTTCCTGCGATAGTTTTATGTTTGACTTTTTAATACAGACAAGCTTTGAAAACAAGCTTTTTCGGACGATCATGGCGCAAAGCGAGAGAGTTCAAAGAGGGAATCGGAAATTCAAAGATCGAATCGTACATACGCTGCGACGAGGAGACATGCAGATCAACAAACGTTATTACTATCATTAAAAATCGATGGCTAAACTTCTCTAATCCTCACTGCTAGTGCTTGTTACATACGCAAAGCGAAATCCTAAGTAGTACTTTTTGCTACAGAATACCGAGATATCCACTAGAGTTAAAGGTAGTTCTCATAGCTACCCCTAGCTACCCCTTACTATCGCACCCCACCTACCCTTAAAACCAGCCTTTGGCCGTGCTCCTAGGATTACAAGATACTTATAACGGGAATTCGTAACTTATACAGTCTCCCGGTGGACAAAATATGTCGCAGACTTGTTATTACCTAATAGAGATGCACGCGGGTAAAAATTATAGCTTAAGTTATAGTATATTATTTTATCTTAGTAGCATTCTTTTCTCGGGGGGCTAGCTCCCAAACCCCCCTCGTTCACTATGCTCTACAATTACTTTATATTGGTATTTATATTAGTATTTGCATTTAATCTAGTTTCCACGAGTCATGTAACGGGCTTTTACTCGTACCTCGTAAAACGTCGAAGAGACTCAAGAATGCTTGGTATGGGCTAGAACGCCAAGAGAAGTGTTACTACAGCATTACGAAAGAAGTAGATCCTACACAGAAACAACAAAACTCGTCTATGCGTATCGCAATAGCATATCGGCTATATCGCACTTAATTTGGTCTAAAAAGACACATCCTTCGGGAACAGGATAGTACCCAATTACGCCTACAAATCTGTCTTATTTACATGTCTTTCCGACCGGTAGAAGTGCCGCTACGTACGTAGAAGAGCCACATACACTGCAAGTGAGGTTCAACTTTCAAGTGCGTATGCGGCTCTCGGGGTGGCTAGAGGTGGCTATGCGCCTCGGCGGCCGTAATCCGAGTCCTACCCCACACGAGGGGTACAAGAGTCTCCATGGGACACTCTTATACTGAGATTATAGTCCTAGAATAAGGTAGCCAGAATGACCATATATGTACTGTACAGTATAGTGACATATGTAATTCATGACATCCTTGACCGTCACAGATGCCCTCCTTCAGCTAAGAACTCGTCCCGAATTCGAGCCTTGTTAGCTTTGTCCTATTACTTCTTCCTGCAAGTCCTCCTAGTCACCTTTGAGGTGCTAGACGTCCTGAACCCGTTCCGTAAACAGGAACACATCTCGGAACCACAGGTCTTGCCTACATGTCACAATATCTCTCTTATCGAAGGACTCGTCTAAGCGAGGGTCAAAGTACCTACTGACCGTAACTGACACTCGCTGCTACTAGGGCAGGGGGTCCATAAGCATATACCGGTTCGTATGTGGGTTCAGGAACAGGAACAGGGGGGGTCCTTCATTTGAAGTGACAGCTTGTGTGACCGCATTAGTGATCGATCGAGTCATAAATGAGTCTAATTCTCGTAACTGGGGATCGGTAAAAGCGCTCGTAGAGGGGTCGGTACGGCGTAACTCGAACTCTTGACTCAAGGAATCCATGCATCGGGGAGTCTCAGAGTCTGCATAGCGATCGCTTGCGGGGCTGTAGATGTTGGAGACTCTGGCGCGAGGGATACCATCGCCTGTCGGTCCTTATCTTTGTCTTTACTACTTGTGCTTGGACTATTACCTTTAGGAGGCAGATTATCGTCGTTCCAGGGAATTTCGAACTCGATATCGCCCTACTAAATCGGTATAGTAGTCTGATATATTTATTGCTTAGGTGTAACGAATCGTGCCAGGACTCGCCTACACCTATTATAACACTATATTTTACATTCGACTACGAGTAGTCCTGATTTGTACGATATCGACAGTCAAATTATAGGATACATAGAATTTACATCCGCAATCTTAACACTCAATTTTGTCTGATATAGATATAGTTTGACTTGGCATATTCACATTATTTTCCGAGTACACAGGGCCAGGCTGTACCTTTTTTTCCTGAGACGTGTGGCACGTATTTGTGTTCAAGCATCTCTGCAGGTCTTTTACGATGCAGCCTATAAGAGGGGTCTTGATTGAGTGAACATTAAGAAGGGTCTTGATGGAGTGAAAGTTAAATCACTTCGAAAACACGTGGCAATGCTTATAGTAAATGCAATAACCGATATTCAGGGTCTCCACTATCTATCCGTGCAATGGGTGGGAATATAACGAGTCTCATATTCCTCTGCGCGGTATCGTTTAAGGTGTATCGTTTTAATTGGTTGTGAAACTAGTATCCGAAGGTACCCCTTGATCATGACTTCTTGAAAATCGAGTATATGGTTAATAAGATCTAAATATTTTATAAGCATTAATGAGCTCTATGGTTGTCTGCATAGCTTTGCACTGTACACAGTCTTGATTTCCATGCCAAACTTCTTTCAAAACTCGATTTGTGTGGCCAAATGGAAAGAAAGGGGGGAGCGGGGGGGTCGGGGGTCGGCAAAGGCCAAGCTGTTGATCTCAGCGACAAAAAAAAGAGTCACCACACTCTATGTATCATTTGCAGGGAATGGTACATGTACTTCATGGTTTTTGATCACGTGTGTGTTTGTGTCCTAGTTTCTCCAGTTGTTTCTGCGGAACGGTTCATACGAGGAATGTTGGAAGGTGCGAATGTGTGTTACTTTCTGGAACTGGGAGAAAAAGAAGGAAAATAGAATTGTTGAGAAGACAAGTTGTCTATAATCAACATGTGAATAAAATACCAATGAGGAAGGTGGGGTGGGAGCGGCATGCAGAGGCAGGGAGTACAGCATCTACAGGTGATGCATCACAGATAGCAACAATTCTGAGATGCTTTCTTGGTTTCGTCAAATTTACATCTTTCTACTTCAATCAAAACCGAGAAACAAAATGAAGCCTGAACAACGTTCGAACCGACGGAAGATCCCGCCAAGTTTCATGCAGCTCATTTCTCGGACGAGGGATCGGTTCACCAGCACTCCAAGCCACAGCCAAACCAAGATATCGACCTTTTCATTAAAGACAGAACTATGCAGATTGTGTGAAGATATAATCCGAGGATACGAGCTCGAATGCGGAGACTATGTAACAAGTCCATTACTTTTCCATCAGGGACCTAATGTCTCTGTTCCACATCATCCGAATTTGCATTCACTCGAGGAAGCTGTTGCGACAGGCTGTGCTTTGTGTCACCGCCTGCTGAATTCTGCGGCCCAAAATATTTCACGCCTCAAAGGTAAAGATGAGGAATTCTCAACACTAGGCTTCATATTTCAGCTTCAACATATATACTGGGACAAAGGGATGAATATAAGATGGGATTCTTGCAGGTCAACGAGCCGTTTTCCTCAGGGTGAAGATGGAGACGACAGAACTCTAGCTGAACTATATTTGAGAGAAGGTGTGTCGTCACAAAAAGCGAGTGCATTCTCTTGCTAAAGTTTCCCCTGACAGAGCCCAAATATCACAATTCAATGGAGGCTTCCACTGGCTCAGAATCGACCTTGCAACAAATCCAACAATGGTATCACCAATGCAACTGCGAACATAAGAAATGCTCCGCCTCAAAAGATGTCTCACTTCCCTCTCGACTATTATACATCGAGGGCAATTCGTTGCGTCTATGCGAATCTTCAAGTCTCCCAGTTCTTTGGTCAAATGAACGCCCCCAGTACGCTGCCTTAAGTCACTGTTGGGGAGATATCGACTTCATCAAGCTATTGCAATCTAACATTTCGGAATTTCTAAATGATATTCCACTCAATCAGCTTACCAAAACCTTCAGAGATGCCATTACTATTACCAAAAGTCTTGGTCTTACATTCTTATGGATTGATTCATTGTGTATTATTCAGGATTCTATTGACGATTGGCGAAAAGAATCAGCATTAATGGCAGACGTTTATGGTGGCTCAGCAATCACAGTTGCAGCAGCTGATGCAAAGAATAGTTCCATAGGATGTTTTTTTCAGCGTTCACCCAAAGAGATTTGCTCTCTTCATTTGCAAACAGCAAAAAGATCATACTCTGTCACCGAACTGATGTCCCAGTCAAGTGGTGTCAAGAACAGCCTCCTCTTTAAACGAGCATGGGCCTTCCAAGAGAGGGTTTTGTCACCCAGGATACTACATTTCACCCGCACCCAAGTGTTCTGGAAATGCAGAGGCGGAGAACTTGCAAGTGAATTGTATCCTATGGGAATTCCATCTTCTACATTTTCTTATCATGAGACTCTCACAGACACGATGATGCGAAATCCATCTGTGTCAAGATTACGAAGTTGGCTTGACATCGTCACTTTGTACTCGGCAACACATTTAACACACCATATAGATAAACTTATCGCTCTTTCCGGGGTCGCGAAATGGTATCAACAACACCACAAACTAGAAGCAAGCCAATACATTGCCGGTATTTGGAAGGACCAAATATGGCATGGTCTTCTGTGGACGGTGAACGGTCCCACAAATGGCGACAGACCTACCAAATATCAGGCCCCTTCTTGGTCTTGGGCCTCTCAAAATGAAGAACTCATTTTTCCTATAGGATCTCAAATTCAATTTTCTTCGCCATACGCTTCGCTTGCGTCCCATCATATCACCTACCCCGACAATAACGTATTTGGGCAAGTAACGAGCGGACACATACGATTAAAATGCACAAACCTATTGCTAGCTCCCTGGGTTCGAGATGAAGAATCAGATAACTTTCTCATAGATTTAAATCAAGAGAGTGTAAATTGTCGGATCACCTGGGACCACACTCCGGACAGAGGAGAGAAAACATATCTTCTCCCCGTGCTAGTGTACAGATTTCACAACGGTTCTCCCAATAAAAGAGACCGGATTAGGCTACAGGGTCTTGCACTTCAGGCTTCTGGGGAAAGTCCTGGCACGTTTCGGAGGGTAGCATATTTTGATTTGATGGTCGGTGGGAGAAAGACTTCAAGCTCTCCGAAGCTAGACCGTGTTTTGCTCTCCCAGGCAAATGTATCCTTCGTATACTTATGGAGAGAGATTACTGCACATTTTGAAGATTTAGAAAAAGTTTCAAGGACCAGGGGCTATTATATTCCTGAGGACGAGATCTATGAGAGTTCATCAACCAATGAGAAAGATGGTGAGAGAGTTCACGAGATAATTATTATCTAGAAATTTCAAGAAAAATTTATTTAATCTATCCACTGTTAATTTACCTTGATCTCATCTCGTGGGTTTTCAGTGTGGGGTTAGGATATATAAATTTAACAGTGCTGGCGTTTTTGACTTGGCAGATTCCATTGATGAGCGCTTTCTTTTGAAGTACTGTAGGTTACGAAAGAAAGCTCACAATTTACGTCTTACTCAATTAAGCTTAATATCCCGTCGCAATTGGGAAGACCTTACTGTATGGAACACTATATGGAATTCTTAGATATCTATACAACTAACTAACCTCATGCCCATCCTCCTCATTACAATTCCTTACACGAGTCATCCTTCCCAACTATCGCAGTCTCTCAACCTCCCTCAAATAAACTCCACTTAAGCGTATAGTTCTCTCATCGTTTCACATTCGAAAAGTAAGGCAAACCTATTCTCGGCCAAAGCCCGGGACTTTAACTCCTTCTTTTTCGCAGCTTTCAAAGCCCTCATTTTCTTCCAAGCTCTTTGTGCCTCCCTCCTTCTCCTTCTCCTCTCACACAGCTTATCAACAATGAAATCATACATTGCTTGAATCTTCTCTCCCCAGACACCAATCTCGCCCTCAGGACGGCAAGGAGGCTCATCGGGATAATGCACAACGAGAAACTGCTTGGCCAAACATTTCGCCATATGCAAGTTCCTCTCCTCGCTGTGTCTCCGATCGGGACCGTAGTCTCCAGAATGGAGGAACGCTTCCATCATCCTTGCCACCGTCCGATACTTATCGACGTCTCGCGTAGGCTGTGTCTGTTTAATCATGCGGACTGTGTAGTTGATCTTTTCGAACGCGTGTTTCGGGAAGCCTAGTTTTGCGTCGAGGACTGCGTGGTCGACTAGTAGCTCGATGGTGAAGATGAAGATTGGTTCATTTCTTATGTATATGGAGACGTTGTTCTGCAAAGAATGGATCCCGGCGTGTTGTACGTTGGCCCAGAATAGTGCTTGTTGGTAGTAACTTCTTGCTAGGACCAGATAATTTGAGTTCCATTCCTTGTCGCCACGGGCCTTTTGGATGACGGCCTTTACGAGACATTGTTCTCGGGTGTAAACCGGTCGGTTGGCGGTGGTGAGGAGTGGGAGTTCAATTTCTCTAAGACCCCGAAGGCGCCAGGGAAGGAAAAGTCGGACGCCTTTGCATATTATGGCTATTGCATCCTTCTTCCCGTTGATTTGGGCGTGGGTACCGAGCCGGAGGTAGCTGAGTATGAACTGCACTTGTGATTGAAGTCTGAGATTGCTGTTAGGATGAGAGTGTCGGGAATTCATGGTAGCTTTTTTCTCTTGGCCGTCGGAATGGTAGTCGACCCATGGATGGTAAGTTATCCAGAGTTTATCGATTCTGACCATAGAATTAAACCCAGGTCTTGATGCATGGGGGAGATTTGCCTGATATGAATTTAGAAACTCAACGACCCGAGGGAGATATCTCATATTTATGATGACCATCCTCCGGTTCGCCGTCGGATCCTCATTATGCCTCCGCCTTCGAATTCCCATTCTCACTAAGTTATCGATATCGATGGTAACAGGAACCGTAATGGGACAAGTTTTTGGAACGTAATTATAAAGCAAATTCGGGACGATGCCTGTGAGGAACTCTATCACCTCCTGGTGGTAGTAAGATGCTGTGATAGAGAAGAATCGGAACAAGGACAAGCTCTCTTTCGCGATTTCTTTGTTTACTCTCAGAAGCGCTGTATGAGTACGAAAGCTTAAATATGCTGTGTTATACCAGCCTAGGCGGTACCTTTGTGTCAAGACATTTCCTGAATCAGAGTTGAGGACGTAATTAAAGATCGTGTTTCGAACTTCTGGTGGTAAGGGAAGGTTGGATCTTTGAGACTTTCTACGATGGGAGTGGTTAATTTAGTAAATGCACGGGCAGCCATTTTGGTACTCACCGCAGAATGGAAGATGGTATTTCTTCTTGAGTATTTCGCCCGATGAGCGACGTGGTGGGAGTAGAGTCTGGCATTTTTTCTGATCTAAATAAGGACGTAGAATAGGGAAGCGAGAAATTCAACCGGCGAATAAGCGAGTGAGAATGAGTGCATGGCTTGCCGGACTGTTGGATTACAGTATCAGAGATGAAGATTCAAAGAAAACCAAGGAAAAAGGAGATTCTGGAGCTATTTATACAGAACATTCTTACGTCGAGATGTGAACCTTTTCGCGCTTAACATCACGTCAGAGATATCTCCTCATATGAACAAACCTAGCCTGTTAGGAGAAAGCTAACAGATTATACAATACTCGAATATCCACACTCTAGTTTGCATTCTCATCATGATCAAATAAATAATTGTTCTGCGCCTGACAGGAAGGGTTCTCAGGTGCTGAGTTCAAGGTTTATTTAGAAATCATAATTACAGGAAGAGAAGGGGGTTACTTCCAAGCGATGCTAAACTAGTTTGACACGGCACCGTCAAGTCATCTAATGACTGGCGGAGCTCCCGGAGACTACCGACGACTTAGAAAATTAGTGGAAAATCTTTTCCTACTAGCGTAACCTGATCTTAACCATTCAACTGCTTCGTGATAATCGAAACTCAGTATTAGATATGTTTTCAAGTTTCTGGAATTCTGACGTAACAACCATATACCCCCCCTTCCCCTCCCCCTAACGGACGATGGGAATCGAATTAAAGAATATAAGATTACAGGTATACCTGATCAAGCAAGTAAGCTAGTCACTAACGAGATAAAACGTTGAAGACGGAAGAATTCTACATCATATACGTTTTACTATCAAAGATCGTATGCCAACAGGAATTCGCTAAGCCTAGTGTAGTACGCACCCCACGCACCCATCCAGATCCACTCATTCCCATCCATCCATTCAATCCAATCCAATCAAATCAAATCCAACCCAAACGAAATATCGTCGCCACAACAGTACCACGCAAGTACAAAAGCACCCCATTACTCAAACTTCCCACCCCCAAGCAACCCACCCACAACCTTCCTCCTCCCCTCCGCACCCTTCACAAGCCTCCGTTCTCGCCTCCTCTCCCCCTCAAGAACCTTTGCATTCCTTTCACTCTCCCTCGCCACATAATTCCCGGTAACACCCTTATTCCTGCCCCCACCCGAGCCACCACCAACAGCAAGCGTACTCCGCTCCATCCCATTCGAAGCACCACTGCTACCACCGACACTACTAGTAGTCGACGCCACACTATTGTTCGTCGTCGCGCGTCTCAAAAGCGCGGGGACCTTGAAGCCGGACGAGTTACTGTTGGAAGTGGAGAAGGCGAGTTTGGTGTTTGATGAAAGAGAACTGGAGGATTGTCGTTTCAAGGAGATCCGGTCGACGATCTTATTCTGTGTTCGTCTTAATGCAAAGGGATCGCGGTTTTCCTTCTTGTTGGTAGATGTAGATGGTTCACCCTCGATTCCGAGCTCGTCGTCAGAGGAGCCTGAGTCGGAGTGTGAGGAGATGAGCGAGTTGGGTTCTTCGATGAGACTCGAGAGACTTTCCCGGATCTCAGAAAGATTCGCTGGTTTCTTGCCAGGCTTCATACGTCTTGGATTTGCTGGGAGTCTGGCACCGGGATCCGCGCCCTTGGGTGGAGGTGGTCCCATGTCTCCAGGTTGGCTGTTGGGAATAACCTGTGTTGAGCCATCTTGAGATTGAGATTGTGAATCGGCCTCGTCGACCTCAGCAAAGTCGTCCAGGAAATCAACCTCGTCTCCACTCCCGCGATCTTCAATCGCACGAAGGAAAGCTTGGCTCTTGGGATTTTCAGCAATCTTCCCGATTCGTTCATCAGCGAGCAAAGCCTTTTGCATCTTGGCGAATTTTGCCCGTTTTCTGCGTCGTTGTGCCTCGCCTCCGTCGTCTGAATCAGAGAGGTCATAGTCTGCACCTCGTTTGCGGCGAAGCATGCCATTCGTGACGTCCTTGTAAAGTTTTTCAACTTCCTTTTCGTCTCTTGCTCTTTCGCGGTCGCTAGGAAATACGTTAGTGAATTATCATGGAGTTTGAGTGGGAATTACTTACGCAAAGAAAGCGGCAAGCTCGTTTTCATCGACATGTTGTTTACTTTCATCATCGATCATTTCCTTGACAAAGGCGTCTGCTTCTCCACCACTCTCATCATCACTCGCACCACCCAAGCCAGTATACTCATCTTCGGATTCGTCGGCCTGCTCATGGACCATGTCCTTTGCCTTGCTGTTCTTCTTGTCGAAATCATCAACAACGGCCTTCTTCTTCTTCTTTGAAGCCTTGCGCATGACATCAAACATATTGGCCGTAATTTCAAAGTCTTCTTCTTCAGCAACCTTCGAAACATGTTTATCCATATCGTCGTCCGAGAAGGATGCCACGCGATTCCTCTGACGAAGCTTGCCCTTCTTCTTGACAATAGGAGTTTCCATGTTGGTCTCTGGAAGGGCTGATGGGTCAAGCATCACGGTATCAACTGTTGATGGTGGCGGATCAACGAATCGTCCTCGAATTGGTGTGACTTGTTGATACCCAAAATCTTGGGTAGCTTCCGGAAATGGAGTTTGACTGTCTTGAACCAAGCTATCGAAACTTTGAGATTGGGAAAATCCCAATTCAAGTCCTGGCATAGACTCAAAACCCTGGGTCTCAGCCGCAGTTTCTGGCTGACTATTCATGATCATGTCTTGATCTTGGGTATCTTCCTCCATGGTAGGTACAAAATCAGGTAAATCCGGAGCAGGAAGACCTCTTAGGAAATCCAAGCCTGGGCGGTTGTTCTTTGGTTGTGAGACGAAATTCGATGCGACTTGTGACGCCTCATCACCAACTTGGCTTTCGTCCATGGTTCCAGCAAAGATTTGGGTTAACCCAAGTCCAGCTGGACCAGCCACGGTTACTCCTGGGATGAAGGTTTTTGTCGCAGAACGAAGAACTGATGTTGGAGCTTTCGGAGATTGGCGTTTTGGGGATTGAGTCTGGGGTACAGAATAAGATTCATCATGGGATTCGTCGTCCTCGTCATCAGACACTACCCTTTGTTTGATCCGTCTGCTTACTTTAATAGGTGCCTGTTCAAGGTCATCCTCTTCAATGTCTGCAATTGGTTCTGATTCAGGGATCGTCAAGTCAGCCTCTTCTTCTTCCGCGTCGCTTTCTGAAGCCTCGTTATCAAACATTGGATTCGTCACAGGCTCGTCGTCGCCTTCCTCCTCCTTACCACTGGCATCACCATCGCTGTTTTCGGGGCCCTCTTCCTCATCATCAGACCCAGAGAGTGAAAGCTCGGCATCGGGAACTTTATCTTCCTCCCAGTCTTCATCATCACTGCTATCATCACCAAGCGGGTCAGTCTCGCCATTAGCTTTGCGTTCTTTCTTTGATGCCGCCTTTTCACGCTTCATGATTTCCTCTCCTTCACGTCGGGCTTTAGCAATGAGATCTTCAACTTCGGCCATCTCTTGTTCACGTTCCTCTGCTGTCTGAATGATAACACCCTTAGCTCTCAATTCTTGAAGTCGCTCCTCTCTTTCGCGAGCAGCTTGCTGTCTAGCTTTTTGTTGTAAAGTCAATTGAAGCTCTCCGGTAGTCATGGAAGGCTTCTTGTTCTTGCCTGTAGGCTTTCCTGGTGATTTGACTAGAGCTAATGTTCGAAGTGCTTGGATGGAATGGGATTCTTTTGCTTGTCTTTCTGGAATACGATCAAAAATTGAGTTGATCTTCCTTCTTTGCCTATTCGGTGTTTTTACTGATACTATTTCAAGATCGCTATCCGAGTCGTCCAATGTAATCGTTTTCTTGTCGACTTTGGAGATTCGGACCCGAACAGGCCGCTGAGCAAATACTGGTTCCTTATCCATCTCGGGCTCTGCTGTTGGTTCTCTGACAGCTCGACCCTTTCCTTTATCTACCCGTGTTGGGGGTGAAGATGGTATCCGGCTCAAAGCATCCTCAAGAGTAGGCATCTCTTCATCCTCCTCTTGTGCATCCTGAGCAAGCTCGGCAAGGTTGGAGTTTTCTGCAGACTTCTCTGTTTCACCCAATACCGATGAAGGCGATGATGGTGGTGTCTCTTTCATCTCAACATCTGACTGGGGTGCTGGTGAGCTTGAGCTTGTAGGTAAAACTGGATCAGAAGCCTCCTTTTGAGGACCGACATTGAACTTGGCCAGAAAATCCGCTTTCGCATAATTCTTCTTGGTAACAGGTTTGTGTGCTAATTGTTGATTTCGGCTCATTCTCTGTGTCTCTCTTCGAATTTCTTCCCCAGCTTTTTTGCTGGCTTTGCGTGTTGGTTGTGTAAGGCGTCGTTCGGCATCGTCGTCCGTCATATCGTCATCCTCCCCGAGCTGCTGATCCATCTTTCTCCGCTCTGCCAGTTTTCTGGCCTTTTCCTTTGCTGTTTCGGCTTCTCTAGCTAACCGTTCTTCGCGTTTTCTCTGAACAAGAGCTTTGAACCGATCATCGTCAACAGCTGGCAGTTCGGAATCCGAATCTTCATTTGCAGAGTTTGCAGCTGCCTTCGCTTTGGAGGGAGAAACGAAAAGACCTGGTGAGGGCTCTCTTCTTTCCGGGCTGGATCTAGGAGATTCGCGACGCGTTGTTCGAATCTTTCGTTTCCGTGAGACGACTGGAGCATCACTATCGTCGCTGGAAGCCTTATCTGAGCCCGAGGTTGGCTTCGGCGATTTGCTCTTCGCAGCCAGCATCTTTCTCACTCTGTCCCTCGCGTTTCCTGAGTTTTCGACATCCTCGGAAGCGTGTAAATTTGCGTGCATTCGTGCGGCCAATCGCCCCTTTGGACGGACTATATCCTCCTCGTCATCATCTGTGCTATCATTGGTTTTGGAAGCATTTGTATTCGTGAGAGCATCTTCAAAAGATCCAGCGGCAGGGGATTTCGATTTTGGGCGAGGCTTGGTAAGAGCGGTAGCTACTCTTTTTCTTGCAGAGCCAGAGACGCTCTCATCATCAGAGTCGTCAAATCTAGCCAGCAGTGCCTTAACTTTGGAAGTTGGAGTTAATTGTGTGGGAGAGGTGGGATTAGACTCGACGGCCGGGGAGGATTCTCGTGTCGAAGACATGGCAAATATGATGGGAAAGGAGAGGGCGATGTCAAACTAATTAATTTCCAATCATAGAAATAGAATAAAAACAGAAGTCCAGAATTGGGTAGAAAACTGTTGTAGAGGTGTGTACAGAGTATTGGTATTGGTATTGTGGAGGGAGGGAAGTGGTGGAGTGGGTGTGAGTTAAAGAGCTTTTGAGAGGTTGGCATAACTTTGACGCGAAAGCACACGAAAGTCGCGACGGGAGTTTTCGCGAAAACGCCAAGTCCCGGCCTGCCTCGGAATTACTTTCGGGTTGTTTTCATAACTAGTCCGATTCACGGGGTTCGGCCCGGCTCCAGAGCTTACCCTGCCTGCACCCCGAGGTGATCCTATTGGGCACCTGTGCCTTCACCTGATCACTGAGTTGTCTTCACTCCACTTCTATCCCGATTATGCGCCGACCAGTACAGTAACCTCAGTCAGCGGATTCGTGACGTCTGGCTTTTCTTCTTACGTCTTTTTTGTCGAGATTTTGTGGTTTTGATACTCGATTCTCTCTGAGAAGTCAAATCGCCGTGTTCGGTTGTCGTGAATCAGTTTAGTTGTGTGGCCTCACCACTGCGCTCAAATAGCCATGGCGCCGCCCTTCTCAGCAACTCTCACTCGGATTCGGCATCTCCACGCCAACAATGTCAGAACACTACGAACCTCTCCCCTCGCAGAGATCTCAGGATCTCTCGGTGATCTAGGCACCCTCCTTCCACTGATGATTGCACTAGCAGTCAACAACTCCATTTCCCTTTCCACGACTCTCGTCTTTTCCGGCCTCTGGAATATTCTCACGGGAGTCTTCTTCGGAATCCCACTTCCTGTGCAACCCATGAAAGTTTGTGCATTCAAATTACCTTCAAAAAGTTACACATCCATTTTCCCGACCAGGTCAGCTGATCAAAATAGGCCATCGCTGCTGTAGCAATAGCACGGAAATTCTCCATTGAAGAAACTGTCTCTGCAGGCTTCACAACGGCAGGAGTTGTGTTTCTTTTCAGTATCACGGGACTTTTACGATGGTTTACTCGTGTGATACCAACACCAGTTGTGAAAGGCATCCAAGTTGGTGCAGGTCTGAGTCTCGTCATCTCAGCAGGAACCAGTTTGTTAAAACCACTTGGTTGGACCACGCCCAATGCAGGAGATAACCTACTATGGGCCATCTTCGCGTTCGTCGCCCTTCTCACTACCCAAAAGCTTCCACGAGTACCCTACGCGCTCCTCATTTTCATCCTGGGTCTTGTGATATCGGTATTCATCACAGGGTCCCATCACCTCCCCTCCTTCCACATCTGGCACCCATCACCATTCATCCCCTCATGGTTTGCTTTCACTAGGGGCGCTCTAAATGCAGGAATTGGTCAGATCCCTCTCACAGCCCTGAACTCCGTCATCGCAGTCTCCTACCTCTCCTCAGATCTCCTCCCTCAGATCCCCGCTCCAGGCGTGACATCCATCGGCTTAAGCGTCGCATTGATGAACCTGATAGGCGGTTGGTTCGGCGCCATGCCCGTCTGTCACGGATCTGGCGGTTTGGCAGCTCAATACCGATTCGGGGCTCGGAGTGGAGCTAGTATCATCCTTCTCGGTATCTTTAAGATGCTTCTTGGTCTCCTGTTTGGAGAGACGCTTGTTAGTCTTTTACGCGGGTACCCTAAAGCGTTACTTGGTGTTATGGTCCTAGCCGCTGGCCTCGAACTTGCGAAAGTTGGCGAGAGTTTGAATTATGGAGCGAGAGATCTATGGGAGGTTGCAGAGAATAGTCAGGGACGGAAGAAACAGAGAAAAGTGGGAGAGAATGAAAGGATGGAGAGGTGGACCGTGATGTTTATGACTGTTGGGGGATTACTTGCGTTTAAGAATGATGGGGTGGGTTTTTTGGCGGGGATGTTGTGTCATCTTACTTATCGTTCGGAGGATTTGTGGGCGAGTTTTGCGCGTTTTTGGAGGAGGAGGAGGAGAGGTAGAATGACGGATGGAGAGAGACAGTCATTGCTGGGTAGGCGTTGAGTGCGTCCATTTTACTAATCTAGGATAATCGTAGTAAATGTACCCTGTATTTACGTACTTAGTATACCTTTGCATGTCAAAATCCAGCTAAAAGATTATTCGTATCTCAATTTAGCAGATAAACATCTTTACTCTTCGCTATGTACTCGTATCTCAAAATCCCTTGACTTGGAGGGAAGATAAAAACTTGATCTGCACTACAAGAACTCCCAACTACACTTTACAAAGATCCACAAGTTGTCCACAAGTTGTCTATTGTTCTAGAATATATACTTGTGTTTCAACTCCTTCTTTTCGAGGTGAAACTTCATCACAACTAATTCACTGATGTAAGGGACGTAGCTATTACTCTGTATATATATCTCTTGGAATAATATTATTCCAAAAGCCTTAAGCTATTAAATTGGCTATAAAGAGTTGTAGAGAGAGTTTGGAACGATTGTTGATTGCTACTTGTGTTAGCCTAGTATACTGAGATAATTATTCTAATTGTGTTAGAGGTTTATCCCTCTGGGAACTTATTAATAACTCTTTGCGTTAGGAAATTCCTAACACTAGCCTGGGGTATAAAACCTTCCCTAACGCGTACTTTTCCTAATACTAACAGTAGGCGTAAAACCTTAAATATCTAACTAAAGACGTAGTTTTGATAGAGACTTATACTTACGAATATTATAATATAAAATATACTTAATTCTCTTACTAAAACCCTATAGGATATATAACTATCTAGCTATATAATAAGTAAGGTCTAAACTACTTATTCTATTTAACTCTAATTATATAAATAATAAAAGACGTCTTCTAAGATATTCCTCTAAATAAAGAAATCCTACTATACTCCAATCTTCTTAATACTAAGAAGTCTCTCTAATAACCTTTATAAGTACTCTCTAAATTTCCCTCCTTATCTATATTTACTATAAAGAATCCTTATCTAATAATAAACTCTCTCTAATTTTATATATAATGTAAAGAATACATATATAAAGAACTTCTACTACTCTTATACCTTCTTTAATAAATCTATATACAAAAAACTACCTCTACTTCTATATATCCTTTAATAAATACCTATATAAAGAACTGTAACGAATACTCAAACTGGCTAACTAAACTTGGCTGGGTGTTCGCTGGTTGGTATGCTATGATAAGAAGAAGACTATCGGGTTGTTCACTTGGAAGTGAACTCGTTACTNTGTATCAAAGATGTCAAACAAATATGATAAGATTGATAACTAAGTTGAGCACGAAGCTCCTATCTAATGGCAGACGTGCCAGTCTTATATAGAACCTTCATACCCCGCGTATGGTCCGAGTATAGAGTAGTATAAGCCTTCCTTATACTTCCT